CCATTTTTTGGTTGCAGCCATCATTGTTGTTTGGCGGGCCCGGGCTGGGGATTCGAACCCGCCACCTTAGGTGTATGTGGCTGGCGCCTTAGCCGATTGAGCCACAGGCGCCGAGCCCAAAGTTTATTTTCTAATGAAAAAACGATGGTATTACAAAGAAGTAGGAAAGAGAATAGAGATGGGTTTTTCAATAGCAAACTGGGATTGTTTTGCTGGGGCTATGGGAGGATGTTGCTTCTCTGACCCTGCACCTGGGAATGGACAGGAGGGCAGGTTCATTATAGACGGGAATATGGGATGAGTCAAAGGAGAGGGCAAGGGCCAATAGTACTCAAATCAACTCTGGTGCTGCCTGTGCTACCCAGAGACGGGTATTTGGGGAAAGTGGCTGAAGTTCTGGGGCCCCTCAGACACCACTCAGAGGAAAGGGGGTCCCCCACTGAGTAGCTGGGGGACCCCCTCCTTGACTCAGATCTGCCTGCAGCTACACAGGGTGCTGGTCCATGCAGGGCTCCACCTGCCGTGGGCAGGGAGTCTGCAGGGTCTCTGCCTTCCAGTGGGGTCCCCCTCTGTGTGCCCTGCACTCACTTCCAACCCAGGGACTCCCACAAGGCAGAGGAGTCAGCCCCAGGCTTTCCCACCTTAGGAAAGACTTCAGGATCCCCCCACCCCTCGGGGTCTCATTCTTTTCCTAGGATCTGAGGGATAATAGTGTTTTCTTTTGCAGCTTCAAAACACAGAAGGCCAGTTGGGTACGGTGGCTCACGTCTGTAATGCTAGCATTTTGAGAGGCTGCGGAGGATAGCTTTCTTGAGCTCAGGAGTTCGAGACCCCATTTCTACTAAAAAGAGAAAAAAACTAGCTAGGGTTTGTTGCTGGCATCTGTAGTTCCAGTTACGCAGGAAGATCATTTGAGCCCAAGAGTATAAGGTTGCTGCGAGCTGTGACGCCATAGTTCTCTGTGAGGGTGACAGAGTGAGACTTATCTCAAAAAACAAAATAAAACAAAAAATACAGAGCACCAAGTGGCATCTCTTTTCCTGAGGATGTCCCAGAAGTGACATCAGGTTGGCTGCTATAGATGAGCTGAGCAGGAGAACCAGGAGACTTGCTGGCAGTCTTCATTCTATGTTGCTCAGGCCATGGCTTCTGGTTCTCCTTGAAATGACCCCTTTGAGCCTTTGAATTGCTTGGGGAGCCATCCAAGACAGTGGTTCCCAGCTCCCCTTTTGTGTAATACTTTGTGTGCCACTGTACTACCCTGAAATGAAATTCCTGGATAATATGCCTGCCACACACAATTTCAAAAGATATAAAATTAATCTGAGCAGTAAGATAATATACAGAAAAAGGTTCTTTTTACTTTTTTACTTTTTAGATATTGTCTCACTTTTTGGTCCATGCTGGGGCCTAGTGGCACCGTCAAAGCTCACTGCAGGCTTGAACTCCCGAGCTCAAGCGATCCTCCTGCCTCAGCCTCCCAAGAAGCTGGAACTGCAAGTACATGCCGCCAAGCCTGGCTAATCTTTTCTTTTTTATAGAGATGGGGGTCTTGCTATGTTGCCTAGGCTGGTCTCGAACTCCTGGCCTCAAGCAATCCTCAGCCTTGGCTTTCCAAAGTGTTGGGTTTACAGGTGTGAGCCACTGCACCTGACCAAGGACAACAATTTGTTACAAAATAATATTATGGGCTCGGCACCTGTGGCTCAAGCGGCTAAGGCGCCAGCCACATACACCTAAGGTGGCAGGTTCGAATCCCCAGCCTGGGCCCGCCAAACAACAATGATGGCTGCAACCAAAAAATGGCCAGGCGTTGTGGCGGGTGCCTGTAGTCCCAGCTACTTGG